CAGCAGAGCCTGGGTCGACCGGGTATGTGAGCTGAGACCCACCTTGATGGAGGGTGCGGAGACCAGGGCCGCCTCCTCCGCCGCCTCCTTCTCAGCCTCCTCTTCGTCCGGAGGAGCCTCCTCCTCCGCCTCCTCTTCCTCCTCACCTTCCTCTTCGTCCCGAGGAGCCCAGGCTGTGTGGAGGCCGTTGTGCCAGCCCCCAGGCCCTGCCGGGCCCTCCCCGTCCGGCTGTGCTCCCTGCAGCAGGGCCACGACGGCCTCGGGCTGGGGCAGCTTGGAAATCTTGAAGTGCTTCTTATAGTGAGGCGTGTCCTTGCGGATAAGGCGCTGTCTCCCACTGGGCAGGGGCCAGGGAGCCTCCGGCTGCCCCTCCTCGCTCTCGCCGTCTTCCCTCGGGGGCAGCAGCAGCGTGTCCTCTGCGAAGCGCACTGTGGGCTGCGTGAAGCCGGGCGTGAGGACGGCGGCGTGGTCTGCACGGGCCCCCTGCCCGGACGCGGCTCCCGGACGCTGGGCAGCACGCCACTGCAGACCTCCGCGGGGCAGAGGCCCGGCCTCACCTCCTCGTAAGTCTCCTCCGCAGGCTCCTCTGGGGTGACCGGGCCGGCTTCCTGCTGGCTCGGCCCCTGCGTCTCGGTCAGCGGCCCCTCGGGGTCACCCTGGGAGGCCGTGCCATCAGACGGCTGTGAGTCCTTGCTCAGGCCAGACTCGGTGCTCAGCCTCTTCTCCTACGGCAGGGTCAGGCAGCTGGTCGGCCTGGGCGTTCTGCTGCCCCGACTGCAGAGCCCCCGGTGGGCTCACCCCCTGACGGGTAGACGGAGCCCGTCCCAGCCTCCAGGGAAGCCACGCCACCATCAAGATGAACAGACGGTGTGCAAAGCCACAGATCCGTGGCGCAGCCCCTCGGGGGTCTTCCCGCAAGACACAAGATGGGGACCAGGCAGGTTCCAGAAGACCACCAGACCGACAACCGCCAGGCGCCCAGACGTGAGCACGGTTCCGCACATGAGCCACGGCGGCTTCACGGAGCGGGTGGCCCGGCTCCGCGTCCCTCCAGGCTTCAGATACCCTGCTGCACCCGAAGCGTCCCCAAGCTTTCCCCGACCCCAACGCCAGGAACCTCCAAACGAGCACCACCGGGCCCACCTGACTCAGGTCCCCGCGTGCCACGCCAAAGCCGGTCGTGCCCCTTCCGGCTGTGTGAGGACCCGAGGCAGGTCTGACCCGCTCGCCTCGCTCTCCGCCCCTATACCGCCTCTGGTTCCTACCCGGCGCGTCTACACCACACGTCCCCCTGCACTCGCGCCAGCGGCCCTTGTGTGACGGGGCCCTGCTCCGCTGGAGAGCGTGGCGGACTTGGCCCTGGACCCCTGCCCCTCGGGCTCATCTCCTCCCAGCCCCCGCGCCCACCCCTAGGCACCCAAAGCCCTACACCCGTGATGGACAAGACGCCCGGGGCCAGGGTCCCTTCTGTGCCAGGCGGGTTCCCATAGGCACCTCCTCCAAAGGCGAGGGTGGCCCAGACTCGGGCCTGCAGGCCAAGGCTTCGCCCCGACGTTCCTCGACACCCCTCTTCATCACCTTCAGCTCGCTGGGGTGAGGCGTGGCCCGACGTTGCAGGCCCTGCAGTGTGCAGGGGGGTGAGGGGGGGGGCGGGGAGGATGCGCCCCCCCCCCCCCCCCCCGGGGCGCCCCCACCATACCCGCTTCTCAGCAGCAGCTTCCTCGGCGTCGTCGCCACAAGCGGGGACCTCCAGAAACTGGATGACGCTGACGCGACCGAGCGGGGCGTCGCTCCAGCTCTCCGAAGGGCTCCGCTGCCCCGGCTCCTCTGAAGGACGCGGTCATCAAGGGGACGCCCGGCCCTGCCCCTCAGACACAGCCGCCCCGTGGCCCCGTGGCCGGTCACCTACCGAGGCTGGGTGGGGGCTGCTGCGGCAGCAGGTAGCAGGTGAGAACCTTTTCGCCGGTCTGGGCGTCGTCCTCCGTCTGGAACCGGAGCATAGGCTGTGCCTGGTTCTCAGCCAGCCATAGGGCCTTGAGGTTGAGGTGGGTGAGCGCAAACGGCAGACTCCGCAGCCTGGGGGCCGGGGGGGGGGGGGGGCGGGTGGCACGGGAGGTTCAGCGGGGGCCGGCAGGCTCGGCTGGCTCAGCGGGGGCCGGGCAGGGCGAGCGCTCACCGGTTTCCAGCCACGTCCAGCACGTGCAGCTCAGCCGTGTGGGCGAGCTCGGGCGGCAGGGCGGCCAGACGGTTGTCCCTCAAGGAAAGGACACTGAGAGCCACACAGCCTCCGATCTCGGGCGGCAGCACCTCCAGACGGTTGCGGTCCGCGTTGAGATTGGTCAGCTTGGTCAGCTTGCCCAGAGAGCGGGGCAGAGCCTGGTCGGGGCCGAGGGAGGGTCACGGGTCGGTGGGAAACCGCCCCGGTCCCCGGAAGGAGAAGAGGACCTTTCTGCGGGGTTCGGTCTGGCACCGCTCCCTGTCCCCCGCAGGGAACCGCTTCCAGCCATAGCCTCCCATCCAGGCAGACCCCCGGGGCCTGCCACACGGCGCTCCTCTCTCCCCGCCTCAGCGTCCCCGGTCCCACCGGGCCGGGGCCTACCGTCAGCAGGTTCTCCGTGAGGATCAGCTCCGAGAGGTTCTCGCAGTCACCGATGGCCTCCGTCACCTCGCACAGACGGTTCTGGTCCACCTTCAGGATGGACAGCTGTTTCAGCCGACCTGGTATCGGGGAGACACGATGACACCGCTGTGTGGGGCAAGCCCCACCCGGCAGCCCGTGCGGGGCCCAGCTCAGAGCCCTGTCCTGCTGCAGACCCGGCCCCCATCACCCAACCCACCTGCCTTTGCAGCCCTTTGAGCTCCCTGCCCCGGAGCCGAACTGCCAGGCTCCCTCACCCGCTCACCGGGCCCATCCCCACCCCGGCTTAATTCCCCTTCTCGGGGGCGTCTCTCGGAGTCCAGGTAAGTAGAGTCAGAGCCCTCCCCGAAAGGGCCCTCCTCCGGGCCGGGGTTCCCCGCCAGCCACGCCCCCCCAGTGCCCCGGCCGGTGCTGACCGATGCCGTCAGGGAGCCGCTGCAGCAGGTTCTGGGAGAGCAGCAAGTCTGTGAGCAGCAGCAGCCCGCCGAGCTCAGAGGGCAGCTCCTCCAGCCGGTTCTCCGACACATCCAGGCACACCAGGCGCCGCAGGTTCCCGAGCTCCTGGAGGTGGGCGCAGGGGGTCAGGGAGCAGCTGAGCACGGGCCAGGGGGTGCCGCACCCTCACTCACCGGGGGCAGTGTGGACAACTGGTTCCGGTCCAGCCACAGCTCTCGAAGATTGGGCAGAGCCCCCAGGGTGTCGGGCTGCGAAAACGGACGGGGACAGGACGACAGGGTCAGAGCGAGAACCTGAGGTCCCCGGCCCTGCCTCGCCCGAGACGGCCCCGCCCTCTCCGCACCAGCACTTCCAGCTCATTGCCTCCCAGATCCAGCTGTTCCAGCTTGACCAGGAAGGACAGGGACCTGCGGAACAAACAGCAGGTGTCGCCTCGACCGCACGGCCTAAAGCCCCGAGGGCCTCGGCCCAGGCAGGCACCGGATGAGGACCCGAGCCCACTCACGCAGGCAAAGACTTGAGCAGGTTCTCCCGGAGCTCCAGGGTCACCAGGTTGGCGAGGCTGAAAGAGAGGTCGAGGTGGGGCGTGACGGAAACAGAGAGACGGTGGGGACAAGTGGAGAGGCAGGGCTGAGCCGAGTTCCCCTGCCCTGGAGGGCACTCACTTGCCCACGTCCCCGGGCAGCGCCTGCAGGGACACGTCATTCAGGGCCAGGTGAGCCAGGCTGCGCAGCTGAGTGAAGCCTTCCGGGAGCCTGCGCCAGAGCAAGGGGACCTCAGGTGTCCAGAACAGGGCTGCGTAACCTCCCGCACCCGCTACTGCCCCCCACCCCTGCCGTGGCCATCACCCACCTAGACAGAGGATTCCCGCTGAAATCTGCAATCTCCAGGGCCTTGCAGAACTTGATGCTCTCGGGGATCTCCGGAATGTCTGTAGTAGGAGAGGGATCGCCATGGAGAGACACCCACGGTCTCTGAGGACTCCGAGTCCTCCCTGCCTCCCCTAGGCTCCACCCCAGACCTGCCCTGGGCCCCGCACCGTTCCGGGACACGTCCAGCTCCACCAGCTGCATAAAGTTGGCCACCTCGGGGGGCAACCGCTGGATCTCGTTGTCACTCAGGCCCAGCTTCCGCAAGTTCAGCAGACGAAAGAAGGGCTGTGGGCAGGGAGTGGGGTCAGGGGTGCCTGGACTCTAGCAGAGGGCCCCTCCAAGAGCGGACACGAATTCACAGCTCACAGATCCCATGGGCCCCTGCCTGCTGCAGGCCCCACAGAAACCCAGGGTCCTGCCACATCACCTCAGTCCGCAGCAGGAAAAGGACAGAAAAACGCACACCCCCGTCTCCCTAAGCTTCTAAGTTCCTTTTGGGACCTGGTCCCTTCTCGTCAACCCAGACACGTTCCCTGCCGCTCTCTTTCCAAAGCGTTCCAAGTCTTGGCTGGTGAGTACTCTCACGTCTAGCTGGGTGATTCTCCATTCCTCACCCTGTGTGCTCCCTTAAGGACTCCACATGCAACCTGAAAGCCCTCTTCCCCCCGTCCAGTGGCGAGTCCTCCAGGGCCCCTGCTGGCTCTGCTGCTGCACCCAACCGACCCGGCCCAGATCTGCGGCAAGGACTGGGCAGTCACGAAGAAAAGTGACAAAATCAGCAAAGTACCCCAAGTACAGTGGTTTCGTGTACAGGGGGGGCCGAAGACTCCTGGAGGTGGTGAGAGACAGAGCCCTCCCACCCAAGCCCAGAACAGGGTCACCACACCCTTTGTGGCACACAGCCCCAAGCACTGGGCCGCTTGGCAAGCGGTCTCCAAAAAGGAAATCCTTTTATGACCTGCTTCCTTTAGTAACCTCTTCTCCAGAGCAGCCTTAGAAGGAAAGCAAGCTGACCGGGACGCACAACTGCAAGGAGAGGTAGACAGGCGGCAGACCTATCAGGGACAAGGACCTTGAGGACAGCTCCCCTACCCCGCCTCAGCCCCCAGGAGGAGAGCAGTCGGAGAACGCCGGGCTCCTCGCCTCCCGGGCAGTGTGAGAAAGTAGTCTTCACCTGCCAGACCAGGTTCGCCTACCCACCTCGACGGGCTCCATCCCATCCACCGCCCCCGTGCTTGCGCTCCCTTCGCTCCTAGACTGTGGCTATCCCTGTCACCCCCAGGCAGGCACCCGAGGAGCACTGCCACCTGGCGCCAGCACCCGAGGTGGGTGAGCAGGGTGGGGTTGGCCAGTAAGAACCAGCAGGGCCAGCTGGAGGCTGCGGTGCCCCGCCCGGGGCCAGCGCCTGCTGACGAGCCCTGGGCGAGCGGGAGCCGCCGCGGGGCCGATCCCGCCGACCGGTGCCCACCGGTGCCCAGGGCCGGGCCGGGCGGCAGGTAGGTGCGGGCGGCCGCTCACCTTGGGCAGCTCGCGCAGCTGGTTGGCGTCGAGGAGCAGCTCCTCCAGGCTGCGGCTGTAGCGGTAGATCTCCTCGGGCACGGCCTGCAGCGAGCAGTGCCGCTTGTCCACCGACTCCACGTGCCGGTTGCAGCGCCACAGCGGGATGCACTTGAGCATGGTGCGGGCTGGCGGGCGCGCGGCGCGGGCTCAGGCGCGGGCTCGGGCGGCGGGCTCGGCCGGGGGGCG